TATATATATATATATATACTTAATTGTATTTGAAATTTTTTGATCGAAAATGCCGATTTTCATTCAAAAAAAGGATTTTTAATATGAGATACAAAGGTCTTCTTTGTATGAGATGGTATCTCATAACAGATAACTAAGGAAAAAATAAAGGTAAGCTTTTTATACACACTTTTATTATATTACAAGTAGAAACAAAGAATTTGAATGTTATACATAATAATTTTTCGATGTGTGTGTGTATGTGAATATGTGTGTATGTGAGTAACAATAGAATCATCATTTTTAATATTTCATTCAATAGTATGCTTTGAGATATTGAATTGTTTATGCCCTCATATTAGCTAGGAATATCCTAAGTATCTCATATTACAACTTTCATATCTTGCGGTTTCATGATCACTAATCTAAATCTAATCTTTACAGTTAAACAAATCATTATATCACGTGTTTTTTATTAATATGATCTTACTCTATCATGCATGCAAGCTTTATTATCAAATATTTATTTATTATATAATAAAATAAGGTTTGAAGACTAACCTCAATAAAATTCGACAACATCCAATTTCAAGAATCTTTTTTCACAACTACTATACGCATGATTTAATAATGAGTTTTCTACTAAATATGTTTCATTCTATGAGTAATAAGTTCATAATAAAATCAATCATATGTGCTTATTAGTTTAGCAGAAATTCCGCTATCTTATATTGGGAATCTATTCCATAATAGGCGATCTTACCCTACTCTTTAAAATTTTTAGAAATGAATCTCATTTTGAAAAATAAAATCTTAATCTTCAAGATTAAAAATTGAGCCACTCTTTTTCAAAACTGACTCAATTTTTATTCGTAAGAGTGGAATTTTATTTAAAAAAATTTAGAAAATATACATAAACGATTCTTAGAAGAAAAGCTCTAATTATAAGATTTTTTTCTTGTAATTGAATTCTACAATCCATTTCATATTCATGTCATTGATAAATAATTCATATCAAAATTCAGGATAAAATTTTATTTGTAAAACATTTGTACACAAAAAATTAATGTGTAACACAAAAAATATTTGAAGTTAAAATATAGGTATTTTAAATTCATAATAGATAAATACACACAATCAAATGCACTATAAGCTTTTAATCTTATAGCGTTTAAAACTCGTTCAGTGGCAGCAACACTGCTTAAGATTGCTGAGAGTGCGAGTTTATTGCACTCTCAACTACAATAAATACAGCTACAAAATCAAGTGCTGCGGAAATGCAATATTTTTTCTACTGTACGTAAATTTCACTATAAAACAATTAGAAAAATTAAGTATTTGTTTCAAAGTTAAAAATGCTCTCATTAAAATTTCAACCAAGTGAAACAGAGTTGTAGAATAAATTGATGAGTAAATAGAATTATGGAACTTGGATTTTAAAGCTATTCCCGTGTAGATTATCGACAATAAAGACATATGTACATAATAGTTTTTGGATATTATACTATTCGAAAAACTTGAATAAATAGAATATATATAGTGTAAAATCCTTAAAGAATTTATTTGCACTATAAAAAATATAAAATAATAATTTATTTTCACGACTGTGTCATTCTGTATTTAACATGTTTTTAAAATTATTTACGTTTATAATATTTGGCAATGTATCCAAGTTGTCATTATAATAACAAAGAAATGTCAATTAGTGTGCAATATATGTAATCAAAAAGTTCAGGATATCCAAGTTCATAGAGAAAAATGCACAAATAATATTAATCCACAACTATGAACATACTTTATTTAATCTTATATATTGTACAATAGTTATTCTTCAAGTATAATTTCATACAGTATTGTTATTTTATCAGTAGATTTATGCATACGTATAGGGAACCTTGCTGTCACAACAGAATTATTTTAAATTAATTAAATAGTTATCGCTCAATTGTATAAAAATAAATAATAAAACGTCAAAGATTAAGAGCGCAACAGTAAGTTAATATATGCTAATGTTTTAATTTATAAACAAATATGCCAACATACATTTCAACCAATACATTCAAGTAAGTCATTTTCAATGTTACTAATAGAACATGTTAAAAAGAAACGTTTCTAAACCTACATATTTCTAAAACTACTTATTTCTAAAGTACATTCGGATATAATATTCATACAATAAAATCTGTGTTATCTTCTTCTCGCAATTAATTATTAATTGAAATCCGGTTTGATCAAGAGACACATTGCCATGTATCTCTTGATCAAAATTAAAATGTCTTAATTTCTATCAAGAGATACTTAATGGCGACCGGATTTCAATTGACTAATTACTTTTCTGATTTAAATCACGACATTTTAATTTTTCAAGAGATCACATAGTGATAACTGGATTGCAATTGACAATTAATTGCGAAAAGAAGATAACATAGATTTTATTGTATGAATATTATATCCGAATGTAATCTGGAATTAAATAGTTTAATAATGTAGGTTTAGAAACACTTCTTTTTAGCATGTTCTATTAGGTAGTAGAGGAAAGTGACACATCACTTTGTTTTTAGACAATATTTCTTAAACAAAAGGTAAAAATAAAACAAATAATAAAAATTAAAAAGGGTTACGAGCCACTTAACATTAATAATATTTATTATTCAAAATCAAACATAAGAAATATGTTTCGACGCCGATCGAGTCATTCTCAATAGAATAAATTTAAATAATCTATCAATTTATATTGTAAAAATAAAACTTTAAAAAACATAAGAACAAACTAAAAAGTGTCTTCCGTCATATAGTATAAGCAGTTTTTATATTGTTTTAATATTGTTTGGAATTTTGCAATAATTAATTTTTTTCATAAGATAAGCAAAAATGAACGTCTAACAAAACGCATACAGTAGGCAGTAATGCTAACGTATTCCTATTCTTTTTCTTTTAGGAATTATCTATATAAAGTATAATTATAGTACATATGAGTGAATGTATATAAGATATTCTAGAATGTTTTCACTCTCTCTCTTCGTTATAAAACATTTTTATTCAATTATTTGCATATTTATTTTATGCTGCTCTGCAAGATGCAAATATGTAACGCGTTTTTCAAGAGTTTTTCAAGAGATTTTCCATATATGCATAATTGTCTTCAGCTCCAATTTGATACTATAAAGCAACATTATATAAAGATTAAGTTAGCTCATGGTCTGTTTTACAGACAGGTGTGGCGATTTATGTTGCATCCCAATTTTAAATTTAAAATCGTATTATGAAAAAAATAAGAGAAAAAATAATATAAATAAAACTGATTTAGGAAAGCAATTTAAAATGATGTAATATTATCAATAATATAGTCACTATTATTTAAACTATGCAATTTAGAAAAGAAAATCGAAATAAGAATTTTATTTTCAAATTCGTTTTTAGCTGATTTATAGAAACAATATTTTATAGAAACAATAATTTCACAAAAAAAAAATCTAAAATCTTTTTCCGTGAAACACATATTTTTATCTGTAGAATGTCAGTAAATTAAAAAAAAAAAAAATTAAAAATGATGTTTCAACGGTGCCCGATTTGACATGGAATGCTTTAAATATGCTCTTGGCACGTAATTAGCCGTATCAGATAATGAGATATCGGCGATTATCGGTCACATAATTAAAGAACAGTTTCTGTGAAGAGGAAGCGAAGGGTAGGGAGTAATACATAAAAATCGATTGCGCAGTCATGAGCATTCGTTTCTGGAATATCGTTGGTGCCTGGTGATAGATTTTGTACTGAGAAGTCAGGTAATGTCAGTAATGTTGAATCGCTTGGCGAGAACTGAGAAAAATTTTGTTGTAATCATTTTCATAGATACTGAAAATATAGCCAAAATTATTAGGCCTTATAAATTTCATAATTTTTAATAGGGATGCACCGAATCGTGAAGTTATTTCGAATACCCGAAAAGAAAGTATCCGATCGGATATCCGAGAAGGCAATTTTTCGAGTCTGCTATCCGAAATTTTCTGGATATCTAATCGGATTCTGGGACAATATTTAAAAAAAAAGCTGAATAAAAAAAGAAAAAAAGGAAAAGGGACTGTGGGAAAAATAGTGATAATATAATTATGAGAACACTAATACGAACACAACTAGAAATTAAATGCCTATACTGTTCGAAGCTGGATCTTTAATGTTTAAATACTTCAATGTGAATTATACACCATATTTGCAGTCGTTCGAACTGCGCGCCGAATTAGTTTTTCGGATTTATAAACGTAATTAAACTACTGTAATAATAATTATGATTTTGTTATCGCGTCTGAATTTGATTATCAATAGAGATGATAACTGTAGAGAAAAAAAATCGTAATTTTGCAGCAATATATAAGATATTATAAGTATTATAAGTATGCGTATTCTTATTTATATAATAAAAAACCACAACAATTTAATATATTATCCAAATATTTATGTTAATAATTGCAAATTTATATTAATTGTCGATAATATCAGCGTTCTTCAATTATTTCCGGCCCTCGAGACCTTTTTTGTTTGGAAAATTTGCTCAGAGTTGATGATCTTTAATAGTATCTCTTAATAGTATCAGTGGCATCTATCATTTTATCCTTTTTTAGAGAACAAATGATACATCAAACGTTTTTATGTGTAATTCGGAACACGCTTTATATATCCTATTCTTGTTTTACATCTAATGAATAATAAAAATAGAATGACACGATAGCGCTGATACTGTTTATATCGCTCCCTATAAGACACTGAATGACGGCCAGAAAGACACTGGAAAGGAAAACTTGGGAGTCGAGACACGCACACGCCCGCTGGAAGGTTAAAGATAAACGTTTTTGTAATTAAAAATATACAATACTTCGAAGCAAGACACAAATTGCGATTATATAAGAATAGGGACGGAATCCACTTGCAAAAAATTAGTAGAATTCTCTAGTAGAAAAGAAAAATTGCGGAAGTTTAAGACAAAAGGGAAGTGTAATGAAATATTAAATATTTATATTTAATGTTAATTTGATTGATTGATTTATTTATTTAATGAATAAAACTGTACAAACTTTTTTTATTTTTAACAAAAATAATATCAATTTATAGATCCTTGATAATGAAAAATAATGAGAAAACAAAACGAGCAATTTTTTGTTTTTATGTTGATCTATATATTAAAAATTAGGGACCGGATATCCGAAAAGTATCCGGTATTATCTGGCACTATTTTACTATCCGACCGGATAGTCGGATATCCGGGAATATATATCCGATTGAAATTTTATATATTTTGAAAGTTTGCATTATTGATACAGACTTTTATTCTTTTTTGCTGAACTTCATGTATAACAGTTAATCTTTCCTCTTTTTCTTTTCACGTTGAGAAGATAAAAAAAAAAGATAAATTGTGCAAGAAATACAGCCTTAGCTGAAAGCATTCTACGTCAAATCGACATTTCAAACATAAATTTATTTTTTTTTAAATTTGTTAACATACCTATTCTACAGATAAAAATATGAGACACGTGTTTTGCGAAAAAAATGTGAGATTTTTTTTTGTGAAGTTATTGACGTTCATAAGTTGCATAAATTTATAAAAAACGTTGCTCATGTGAACATTCAAATAATTATATCGGAATCATCAATCGTCAAAACAAAAAAAAAAATACAAAATTTTCGAGATTAAAAGTCTGATTCTCATAAAATTTTCGAGATTAAAAGTCTAAATCTCATAAAATCTTTAGGATTTCTAATATTACTTTTCTTTTTTTCTTTTATTTTGAATTAGTTTTGAGTCCTGCCAGCTTAATATTAAGCCAGCAACGTCACGATTTTTTTCGAAATGACACACACGGTACAAAATTATCATTAATGGTAAATTTAATACAAAATGAGTACTAAAAATTCCGATAGATCTGATTTGATTCTGGTGATTTGATCTTGCTAGCTTTATAGAATTCTTGGTTACTTTTAATCTTTAGGTAACCATATTGTGAAATCGGGTCTAAGTCTTTTACCGTTTACGCTCCCTACAGTAATCATTTTATGTAGATTATAATTTATAATGGTGCTACTTATTACAGTGACAACTTAATTCAACTCACAATAATTTCATTAATGTGTAACAGTAAGAAACTAAAATTATAACACAATACTGTAAAATAAAGGCATGTAATAGAGTTGCGGTTTTTTTTTATTTCTGTGAAGTAAAGCATGGCGTATTTGTCGAAGTTACTCTATAGGATGCCTAAAAATTTTGGACATGGTTGTATTTTATGTAATTTTTTTCATTTTAATTCGCGACTTCACCCTTATTAAAAATTTTTAATTTTTATTAACTCCTCTCCCCATTTTTCTTACACGTCACATTTTTAATTTGCATCGTTATTTTCTGCATGATTTTGAATGTAGTTTGCATTTCGCTGTCACATTGTCATCAGTGGAAGAACATTTTGTATAATTTTTTTCATTACACTTTAATCTTTCTCAGTTCCTCAATTAAATATTATTAATTAGTTAATTTTTCAATTTTACTTATTTGACGTATTTTTTATTCGCATTATTATTTTATAATATCATTATATCATTATTATTTTATGATGTCATCGTATTGCACAATAATGTTTCATAATCTCGCATGACAGGTAACCAAAGTTGATCCACCAAGGATGAAATCAATTATTGTCTTGCTGATGATCATTGCCGTCGTATTCTCAATGACGGTCGTGGCGCAGGATGAAAATGTTACACCGTCAGAGCTTTGTTTTAAAGGATTTTGTCCTCTCGACAAACCTTGCTTGATAAGAAATTGTACCGAAGGCAGTTGTTCATGGTTATGTGAGCCAGAATCTTAAAAATTCTAAATTCACGAGCCGGAAGGAAGTACTATATCGTATTTTCAATCCTATATGCTGTATTCTTATGTTTTTTGTAATTAATAAAAAATGTAGACAATCGTTGATAGATAATCACTGTGTGCTTAAGCGATCTTTAGATGATCAATAATGTTGTACAATATTAAACACAAAATAATACATACTCTACGCAAATAATTATTGTTTCAAGTATTTCAAAAGTTTATATCTCCGCAAGTCTATATTAAATTCATCACTAGGATAATTGTCCCAATTACTGTGCCAGTCTCTTATTAGTGTGATTTTGTATTTCGATAAGTCATAAAGAAAACTAGCACGAATAAATAAGAAAAAATATTTTTTCTTGTTAAATTAAATTATTAATGCATACGATATCGAAGATAATAATTTATTTTATTTTTTGAGTTTTAGAATATTTTAAATATTTTTCAAAAGATATGAAGAATTTATGTGAATCCAGTAATATGGTACCGCAAGATTTTAAGTTTGTCCCTAATAATGTTCCCTGTATTGGAGCTGAGAACATTGTGTTATGAGTGTACATTGAAATAAGTATAATTGAAATAGTGATTTATGTAATATTAATTAGCTTAAATTTATTACCTGTTTTAACTATATGTTAAAATGAATCAAATGTAGGCACATTAATAGGGCCATCGCCGCTTGGAGGACTCATAGAGATAAAAACATGTTTTTTACTTTTATCAAAAACATTATAAAGTATTAACATTTTTTTAGATGAAAGAAATATTGTAAGAAAAAGAAATAATTGAAAAACCGATATTGATTGCAAGCAGACAAACTATAATATTTAATAATTAATTCAGCAATAAGCAAGTTGGCTAAAAGATACATTAATAGGGACAGGTTACCCTACACGAAGAGAATTTTCTTTTAAAATTTATCCTGAAAATATGGCAGTTATGCTACAATATTTTAAAAATTTTTACCATGCACTTCAATAAAATTGATCAAACTGATGTTATACTTTATGTAATAATTTTATTAATAAATGAGAGAGATTTGCATTAAAATTCTTCGAAATACAATGTTGTCCCACGACTGTCATATTTTCAGGATAAATTCTAAGAAAAAATTCTCTCCATGTAGCTTTAAATTTATTCAAAATATGATTTGAATCCTAGTGAGTTTAATTTTTCAGTCAGGTTATTAAATTTCAACCAAGTTATTAAATTAAAACAAATTTGATTTGCTTATTATATAAAGTCCCTTCTTTGATTTGAATTTTCTTGAATCTTATAAAATATTTTCAACTTTCAATTACTGTATTGGCATAGAAACGTTTAAAAATTGCACAGTATTTGTAGAAACTGGAAGATGAGGAGACTTGAATGGAGGAGATTAGGAGGAGACAAAAGTTAAGTGTTCGTGTACACTTTTCTCTATCTGATGAAGCACCATCTAGTGTCGTCAGTTTGAGTGAAAAAGCGATAGCAATTGCTTTTTCTATGAAAAATTGTGCAATTTCACTTGTCGAAATAAATACATTGCACGGGAATATTCTCTCTGTGATATGTTTTTAACTAAAATATATACCTTCAACAATTCATTCCTGCAATTTCTTTATTTTTATTTCTATATTAAATACTATTGATAATTTTTTTTTTTAAAGTACATTCATGATTTAAAGTATATTCATGATTTTCGTGATAGATCAACAAATTCACTTCTGTTCATTATCAAATATTTTTTACAATTTCCGATTTTTGACAACTTTACTTATATGGGACTCTTCCTTAGATATCTTCCAAAATTAAGATTTTATATAATTACTGTAATCAGTACATTTTGCCAAAAATTAAGGACACTTGAACATTGACAGGATATATTTCTGTACAATAAAGAGAAAAATAAAAACGTGCGGTAACAAAGAGTTAAAAAAAATTCTAGTTTCGAGTACATAATAATGAGACAGTCACTGGTTGTCTTCTTTCTCTTCAAGTTTTGTTTAATTTACTTTCAGTCTTATTACTTTCTATTTGATCCGCCCATTTGAGATCATATGGCTGTGTGGCTCGGAGAGGATATTGCGGTAACGCCTGACGCGTGATTGGACTCGTGCAATCAAGTTTGCAGTCAGGGATCCGCGTCGACTGGCTGAATATACACCAGGAAAGGAAATAATTGATGAATGTTTAACGAATGCTTTGTTTTGCTTGTTTATTCGAGGATGAAGAGCAGAGACCGCGAGAAGGCAGACGAGTAACGGATCCGCGCACCGTTGAATGCGCGCCACTTCGCGAGTTAATGCGGATTAATGCGCCGAGTACGGACTTCCGATTCAAATATAATACGATACCACGAGCGCTACTAACCATATCGTATGTATCCTACATTCGTGAATGTATGCGCGTGAATAAAATATTTTTGGACGGAAAGAAAGGCAGAGATTTACGAATAAAGCGAAAGCACGCAAGGGATTTTGCGTTCACTATGTCGAGAGAGAATATCACGATTCGCAGATGGGATCTAATGAAGAAATACGGTATCATGGCGTTTATGTCGATAGGCATTTCGCACATGGTATTGATATCGACTTCTATTTTGGACTCACAACGCACATATATTTTTCGTACACTTGCTCGCTCCTAATCCATAACGTAGCTTTTGCGCATGATCTGTTAATCAACATTTGTACTACTTCGAATTGATACTTGTTTTTGAAATATTTGACTGAAATCACGATTGTACCACAAATTTATTATTCTCTGAGAACATTATGGGATATAGATTTAATTACAATTTTCTGAGAAAAGAGAAAGAGAAATAAATATTAGGTAAACGAAATAAGCACGTTAAGCAGTTTATTAAGAATATTAAAAAAAAAATAAAGATTTTAGTTAATATATAATGTTTTTTATGACGTTTTTAATAGAATTACATATTTAAAGGTTCGTAAATAATAGTTATTGAAAAAGAAAGAAGATACGTTAAACAATACTATGCAAAATAATATTTTACAATAAATCACATTTTTTCGCTGATAAGATGTAAAACAGGTTCCCGGATTAAATAAATACATAGGAACTGAGAAAAAGATACTTGAAAATTTATTTGTGAGATATGTTTATTTTACTAAAATAAATTCTTATTCAAATACAGCGAAATAAAATTTTATTCTTAGCAATTAATAAACTATTTATTTTATTTCTTTTACAATTAATGAAATACATTTCATAGAAATGTATATTTTATCATCAAAGTCAATTTTTTTTAACCAATAAATATCGAAAAAATGTCACATAAAACATTTGCTTGTAAATATTTCGACTTTTTTTTCGGTAAGGTCTAAAGATACGCAAGTCGTATAGATATAATATACGCTCTAAAAAATTTTATTTTAATCAATCTGTAACAACTGTGCTTCCGAAATAAAATAAATTACAAATTATTTAATAACAGGCGATTGAGAGCATATATATCGCAGTATTTTATACGTTTTGAACTTACTATTTATAGTATTTATTCTTTCAATCTTTAATCTTTCTTTTCCTATTTTACATTCAAATGTTTCGGCTCTTTTTACGCTATTAGTTATTATCCTGCTGTAAATTACTCGAACAGGTCGATACAGAGAAATAAATAAGAATTGGAATAATGTTGCGAGATACAAAGCGAAATTCTCACTAATTAATGTACGATTACAGTGTGTAACAGTCAAACTAGATGACGGTCGCAACAGAAAGGATTTCTAATATCGAGAAAAAAAAATTCTTGACGTACTTAATCTTAGCTCAACTATAAAATTATAACTCTATTAAGATTAAATGAATAATTTTTATTCTATTCCCTCGAATAAAATAAGATCAACATCTTGTCTTGAGACGAGTATAGAACACATATAAATTTAGGTTTATATATTCTTACATTTAGAATAAGTCTATCTAGTATTATATACGTAATGTTACAGCATCATGACAACGAAGCTTTCTTGGTGTAACGTGCTAAGTAGAAGACGTGGAATGAGAGTTCGAGTTCTAAGCCCTCCCAGTTTTTTGTAGAAAATTAATGAAATCATCAAGAATCATAATAAAAACATCAAGAATATTTTATTTTAGATTTTTTATTTAAGAAGAAAATATTATTTTCTAAAAAGTAAATATGATTAGTTCTATATCGATTTTATTTTGTTCTAAATCGAGGAATAATAGCATTGAATATAGAGAAAATAGGGATCCTCTTTAGAGATAGGCACTTAATATGAGATAACGGCGTTTCTGCTAAACTAATAAACGCTATCTATTGGTTCCATGAATTTGCTCTTGGATTGAAAACTATTTAATAGAAAATTCATTATTAGATGCTCCTAGTTTGTAAAATCCTTATTTTAAAACAAGATTTTAGAATTTGGATGTCTTTAAGTTTCATTGAGATGAGCATTTAAACCTTTATTATTTAATAAACAAATATTTGGCAATAAATTCTTCATGTAGTGATAGAGTAAGGTTGAACTAATAGAAAAATACGGAATATGTTGAATTGTTTAATTACAGAAGTTAAATTTGATGTAAAATATAAGGCAATCATAATATGAGATATTCAGGGTAACATAGGTTATTTCTAATATGAAATAACCTATGTTTCTATGTTATAGTGAAAATCGTTGCTAAAATATAAATGTTATTGTACAATAATAAAAAAGATAACTGGAATAAATATCGAGTGGCTATATCTGTGATGCTTGATTCCAACTATCTGAAAATGAATTCTGGGTATAATCGGTATAATATAATATGTATCGCATACTCATTTTTCATGTACGCTGGCTGTGTTTGTTTGTATTTTAGAAACGTTAAATAAAAGTTTTTTAATTGCAATACTGATATACTTTGCGTTTTACTATCGATTTCTCGGGGCATCTTATATTAGGAGCACAATTTTTTGACTTTGTGATTTGCTCACTTTTTACATTTTTTTAATTTAAAAAAAAAAATGAAATTTAAATTAAATTTAAATTAAATTTTATGTAACGTTATCTTAAAGCTTATTAAATATCCCTATTATTTTTTTAAATTCTGCCTATAGACTTCTAGCATTTACCTAAAATGAATTCGATATCTTATAATAGGAGCCTTTCTTCTAGAAATTTTTTTTGTGAGTGAATCTTCAAACGTTGAACTAAAGACGGTTAGAAATTAATCGTTGATGATGATTCAAAAAGAGCCGAAACGTCTGAATGTAATAAAATAAGAAAGGAAAAATTGTAATAAATAGTAAATTCAAAACGCACAAAGTATCGCAATATATATGTTCTCAATCGCTCGTTATTAAATAACTTGTAATTTATTTTAGTTTTATAGTCATGCTTTACTACTATATTTATGTTACAGTTAAATTTACGTTAGTTATACTCTTATGAAACAGAAGAATGTAAAAACAATGAGTAAAGATGAGTAAGAATCTTATTTTAGACCATACATGTGAGAACACAATCGATAAATTAGAAGCCTACACCAGTAGAAGCTAGATCTTTCATGCTTTTAAATAATTTCTATTTATGTACTAAATTCAATTTATGTACTAAATATCTAGCTATTTATTTATTATTATTAAACTGCGCGTCGAAATGATTTATCGAACGCAATCAAACTATTAGATATAGTAATATCACAAATTAAATTAAGCAATTTAATAATTTGATGCTCAATCTAATAAAAAATAATGAATTTTGAGACTTCTGGAGCAAAATATTTGAAAAATATTTTTGTTTTCCTTTCAGAACAAGGTTTTTAAAAAGTTCTGCTATACACCTAGTCATTTAAAATAACGCGCACTTAGCGTGAGTCAGATCTGCTTGCTCATTTGTATTCGGTTATGTAATTTTGCTGAGGGATCATTTCCGCGAATTGAGCGAAATCTCTCTTATTGTAGAGGAAATTAATCGGTGGAATTATCAACGGCGCAGATCAGGGCACGTTGTCCATTCACTTCCTCTTTCCGCGGATAATTATGATTTCTTCTTATTCACACGGGAAGTGCGTAAAATAACGCATCGAAATACGGGCGTCCTTCTCATGCGCAGCCAACCGTATCGGACGTTATGAGACATCGGCGATTATCGAGTCACGTGATCAAAGAGCGATTTGTGAAGAAGAAGCGAGGGATAGGTCGTAACAGATAAAAACGCATCGGTTGCGCGATGTGAACATTCATTTCTGAATTATCGTTGGTGTTACGTAGATTTTGTGCTCAGAACTCAGGTAACGTCGCATCGCTTGGTAAACCGAGAAAAATCCTGTCGTAGTCATCTTCATAAATACTGAAAGTACAGCCAAAATTATTAAGTCGTATAAATTTCATAATTCTTAGTATGTAGGTCAAAATAAAAACAAAATAAAAAATTGCTCATTTTGTTTTCTTGTTATTAATTATGAAAAGAAAAAGTAATTCATCATTTTTTAGAAAACTAATTAAAAAGTACAGATGTGGATTTAACAATGTATGTCCATATAATTCTCATCGTTAATGTTAACATTTAATACCAACACGATGAAAATTATGTAGACATCATATTAAAGCCACGCGTATATTTTTTAGAGTGTATTAAGTAATTAGAGTGCAGAGTATCTAATAATTTTGAACACGGCTGTATTTTATGTAATTTTTCTTCATTTTAATTCGCGACTTCACCTTATTAAAAGTTTTTAATCTTTATTAACTCGCTAGTTTCTCCCCTATTTTTCTTATATATCATATTCTTAATTTGCCTCATTATTTTCATGATAACGTAAATTGCGTTTCGCTGTCACATCGTTAACAGAAGACATTTTGTATAATTTTTTTCATTACACACTTCAATCTTTACTCAGTTTCTCAATTAAATTATTATTAATTAGTTTAGATTTTTCAATTTCAACTTATTTGTCGCATTTTTTATTCGCATTATTATTATATAATATCATCGAAATGTCATCATTATTTTATGATGTCATCATATTACACAATAATGTTTCATAGTCTCGCATAACAGGTGACCAAAGTCGATCAAGGATGAAATCAATTATCGCCCTGCTGATGATTATTGCCGTCGTACTTTCGACGACGGTCGTGGCGGAGGATGATGAATACATTCACCTGCCAGGGAAAAACTGTGAGGACGCACCGTCTTGTCCCGATGGTAGACCTTGTGTGATGGCACTACCTCATTGTAATAGTGGCACTTGTGGCACGGATCCGGTACCGACATGTGGGCCAAAACCCTCAAAATCCTAAACTCATGAGCCAGAAGGGAGAACTTATACCGTATCTTCAGTTCTTTATGCTGCATTTTTTCGCTTGTTGTGATTAATAAAAAATATTGAAAATCGTTCATAGATAATCACTGGGCGCTTAAGCGGTCCTTGTATAGACGATAAATATTATTGCACAATGTTAAACACAAAATAATATATGCTGTACGTAAATGATTATTTGTTTTAAGTATTTCAAAAGTTCGTATCTCCGCAAGTCTATGTTAAGTTCATAACTAGCTTTAAATTGATTTAAAATTAATATAATTTGGAATCCTAATGAGTTTAATACTACAATCAGGTTATTAAATTGAAACAAATTCTATTTTTTTATATAAAGTCCCCCTTCTTCGATTAATTTTATAAAATATTTTAACTTTCAGTTACTGTACGAAGTATAACGTATCCAGAAAATTGAAACGTTTGAAAATTGCACAGCATTTGTAAAAACAGGAAGGTGAGGGGATTTTGATGTAGAAGGAGATAAAAGTTAAGTATTTAACGTATACTTTCCTTTATCTAGCGTTATCATTTTATGCGAAAAAGCGTTAGTAATTGTGCTTTTTTTATAAAAAATTGTTCAACTTCACTTGTCGAAATAAATATACTTGCACGGAAATATTATGACACATGTTTTTAATTAAAATATAGACCTTCAACAGTTCATTCCTTTAATTCCTTTATTTTTACTTCTATATTAAATACTATTAATAATTTTTTTAAAAAAGTATAATTATAATTTTAGATAGTTCGAAAAATTCACTTTTATTCGTTATTTTTTTTTATAATTTACAATTTTTGACAATTTTACTTAAATGGAGCTCTTCTTTAGATCCTCTAAAATAAAGATGTATACATTTACTTTAATCATTTTACCGAAAATTAGAAACACTTAGAAATACTGTCAGAGTATATTTCTGTGCAATAAAGACAAACATAAAAACATAACGTATAAACAAAGAATTTTAAAAAAATTTCTAGTTTCGAGTATATAATAATAAGTTTCTTCTAAAATTTGTAATAAATAATATTTTGAGATTATTATAAAAAATATTCTTTGTTAAGGATAACTATTACTTAAAAGAAAGAAAGTAAAGTAAATAATCATTTTTTAATAGAATGCTATTTTTCTGTGTGTATTGATGATATTCAGAAATATATTCAGAGATTGTTTGTTTAGAATTGTTTAAAAGGAGGTACTATAAATACTGTCGATACAAAATACTTGTATAATATTGAGCGTTTAGGAATCGTTTTATAAACCCTACATACATTTAGGCAAATCCGACACAACTGGACTCTCACAAAGGAATGTTTCATGTTACCACGTGCCTCGCAATTTTCGCGATGTTTCATTCACGAAGGATCTTCTCGCTCGGTTAAGGTCAGGGGTGCGCAAGTGCGTGTGTCAGTCCAGTGCAAACAGGGAGACACGACGGCCGGAGTGTAATTCAAACAAAAAGCAATCAAGGATTCAATTACAAGGCCGGTCGGCCGTTGTGGCGGTTTGCAGTTTCATCGGCGAGTAAAGTCACGAGCAAGAGATTCGATTACCGAACTCGCCTTCGGACACACCGGACCATCCGCCAGCAATTAATTTAGATATAATTTTTATTTTTACTTTTCTTCTTTTGCAGGCGAGACGTCCGGAGCGTTTCGTACGAAGTACGTAAACGCGCGAAGTAATATTCACTTCGAAATGATGACTTCGAATCGAATCGATTGGCGAACCGCAAAAAATTCTGTCGTGATCATCTTCATTCATCCAGAAAACGGAAATATTTTATGTAATTTTTGTTTTCATCATATTCGCGATTTTACTTAAAAATCCTTATTAATTCGCCGATCCAATTTCTTCCGTATCGTAGGTGTCACATTCTTCTTAATTCTCATCGATATTTTCTGTGTAATAATGTAGATTGCGTCTGCGAAGTAACTTTCCGTGTTATTATAAAAAAAAAAAAGCACGCGTGAGCCAGTTGCCAGAGGTATCGAGCAACAGAGAAACCTCCGTGGATTATATACCATTAACCTACATCGAAAAGAACCAGCTGCATACAAATGATGATGTCTTTATACTGCGCGTGGGTGAGATATACGGAAAAGAAGCGAGGCGAGAGAAAACGGGAGAGTGAACAGAAAAATGGAAGATGTGGGATATATTTTCGCGGTCCAGCGAGGCGATACCTCTTTCTCGTTGATGCACAGCACAAGCCTCAAAGGTATTTCTAAATCGAAATACAATCGTGCGACTACGCGAAATACAATTCTTGCGCTTTTGCAGCGAAGTGTCCTTTGTGCCTGCGTTTTTGAAAAGGCGCTGCTTTTCGAAGATCTGCGAAACTATCATGACATTCTATTGATATAAAAAAAAAAAAAAATGATGAGAGTTCCAGTAGCACTTTTCATACACAGAAAAAAAAAAAAACAGCTGAAAACTTCACTGATTCAACGAATCTACAGTCGTAATATATAGACAGTCAATCTTTTACGTTAAAGTAGCAAAGTTAACAGCTGAATAACATTAGCGAATAACATTTGTTAAATCATTAAATCTTCTTAGATGTTGAATTCGCGCAGTAAGTTACAGTTTGCTGTACCAATTAATTTTTTTCTCTGTAGTTCTACAGTTCTACTTAAAAATAAAAAAAAAGTTCCATTTTTTTTATGTAAAAAGACCAAATATGAAAATTTGTGCTAACTTCGCGAATCTAGCATGACAATTTTCCTTTAAAGTACAAGGAAATGATAAATTATTAGCACTTTTAGCAATAATTCCCGATAATAGTTCTACCAAAGATCTACTATAATATATGCATTTTCTGCAAAACAGAATTCCAACAATTTCCAATTTTTATACATTTTACATATATGTAGAAAATGGCCCGACATTTTAAGAAAGTGTCGTGCTTATAGCACTTTTAGCGACAGTTTCTAGCAGAATTCACGCCATATTTTCATATTTGGTTTTTTTCATATAAAAAAATGCAGAACTTTTTTTTTATTTTTAAGTAGAACTGTAGAACTATATAAAAAGTGCTACTGGAACTGTCATTATTTTTTTTATATTAATAGAATGTCATGCTTCGTTGATCTGTTTTTCGAAGAAGATTAAATCCGGTATAGTAACGTGATACACATAAACTGCATAGGTTAATATTAATTAGGAATATAAATAAGATATTAACAATAACATTGATCCAAATAATGAACAGACTATAAGTATACAGAATGATAAAAAGTTTGATTACAATTTTTATTTATTTGTTTATCTAAATACCAAAAATAATCAACATTAAAAATAGCAACATTTTTATCCTTGACGTCAGTTTCAATTTCAACTAAATTATCAACTTGTGATAAGAAAGTAACGCGAGACATCCATCTGCGTTATGAAACTATCAATTTTTTTCTCTCTAAGTTGTTGTAAGATTTTATGCTTATAATATATTTTCTTCTCGATTTTTCCTTCAGATTTCTTAGAAGTTTTCCCCTGTTTGGCTTTCAGACATAAATTATTCTCGAGCGCATTCGATAAGCATCTGCGAAATTGCGCTGACGTCTATCGGCTTTACCGCGCGCAATGTCGTATAGACTTAGCCGGGTATTCGTTGGTGTCAATCAACTCATAAACGTTAACGATATGGTCCTCTCGGCTGAACTTTACGACGGTATGCGACCCGGCTGGCGGTTGCGATGTTCCTAGCAAATGCCTCAATTGTGCACCCCACGGAACGTACCATGGAATGCAACGGTAGGCGTTTGCTGGTTTCACGGTTCGCGCGTGTTTTGCCAGCCACGCGTGAGCGAAGATCCATTACAGAAAACCAGGTTCCCTCGTCGTCGGTGCAATTTAGTGCGATCGCCACACGAGACGATGCAGCCGCGATCGTTTCCGCGATCGTGGCACGAAACCGCGGAGGTGTTTCGCGATTATTTCTCTTACCGCGCCCTTTTCCCATCGCGATTTACACCGTTCGAGAATCACTCGTTCGTTCGCCTCAAGAAAATTGATCCTCTCTAGTCGATCTTCGACAAGCAGCTCCACGTTCGCATATAATCTTCTTTTATGCATTCCATGTTTTAACCCATATGTTTTAATCCTCTGTTTGTAATCTGGATCTTTTTGACACAAGCAAAATTTCACACTCAAATTTCTCCGAAATAAAGGAAGACAAAGTTCCGGTTTCCTCTTTTAACACATCTTGTTAAAAAACCTATTTGGAATTATAATAAGTTTTTGTCGGAAAAAAAAAACAGATAAAACATGATTCTGTGCACCATTAATGATAAAAAATGTAAGAAACTACAGCAATAAATATATATACAAAACAGAGACTAGTTGTTACTTATTTCTCTTTTTCTTTATTTAAAAAGACAAATTTTTCCAGAACTTTACATTTACTAGTGTGTAATGTCCACAGTTAAAGATTAAATATTATGTCTAATTTTGAGATGAAAAATATGCTTTATATAAAACACAGCGCCAAGTTTATCTCGACAAAAATTTTATCTCTATGAAGATAAAATATAATAATGTTCTATTAATAGCGAAAACCATTTGAGAGAATGTAAAAATAACTTATCTGCGTTATAAAAATGCTTTCGATAATCTATCTTTTGAAGCGTAATTTAACACTGCAAATATATATCTTTGAAAAAGATCCAGACTGCGTTTCCAGCTAGCGATAGCTTCACTTGAATCATTTTATCGGATATTACTTGGAAGTAATTTTCGCAGAAGTTCTCCTGCGGGAAAAAAAGAAGCAGCGGAAGTTTTCCGTCAGCCGTAACCATCATGAGATTAGCTCGAGAGAAATTTGTCGAAAAACCGAGGGTGTGCACAGAAATGCCAGGTCCGTGGAGACACCAATAAGAGGAAAGCTGCCCTAGGAAACACATCATAAATATTAGAAGCACATGGAAGTGTGAAACAAAAGCTTAATCTGCTTTCGTATTACGCGGTAAAATTATACATGGTGATAAATTAGAAAAATCAACAGTCTTAAATCGTTCCTTTTTTAGCTTTTCAGATCTTTAAGAATTTTGAGAATTCATATAAATGATGACTACGATTTTCGTAGACTCTTGCAATCTGTCAATTTTTCGAAAACGATTAATCGTATTGCTTACACTCACACTTACAGAGAAAAACAGCAGTAGCAATTATTATAAAAGTGACAATGATCCGAGTTTTATATGTAGAATTATTGTACATATACACATAAATGACTAACTGTGCAGGATAATTGGACTAAATGTTTCTGCTGCTTGTAGGTAATTACACAGTGAATTCAACAGATAGCGCTGTAAATCGTACAAGTCTTGTCCTTGTTTGTCAATTTATTGCTCAATTTATTCATTTTACTAGTAAAGCAAAATGCAATATCTCATTTACAAATGATGTAATATTTCGTTATAAGTAAGTAATTGCTTTCTACTGAATTGGAAAGAAAGTTCTTGTCGTTTTTTTTTTAAATTAAAATTGTACATATCTTCGTTAAAAATCAACAATTTAAATAAAAAAAAAATTTTTAAACTTAAAATTTGTACTTTCAAAAGGTTATCGCTATATTTTTTTATAATTTCTGTGAGTTTGATAATTTTTACATACAGAAA